GCCACGTATCGTGCCTTGAACAGTGGAGCTTTGCCTCGGAGTTGTTTGACTCGGAAGATCCATTTTCCGCCGACGATGTTAACACCGGAAGGGGGAACAACATCGTCAAAGCTGTTGTTGCGAATGAACGCCTCGTTCTCCACATCCATGCTGCCTTCCACTCCTTCTTATAAGGCCCCAAGAGAGCTTCCTCTTTTGTGCAAGGAGTCGGAATGGTCGGGTTCTTGGTGAAGTTGAGGGAAGGGCAGTCAGTTATGTCCGTGAAGATGTGAGAGAGAAATTGGCAGACCGCGTGAAGGTCAAACAACTCCTCATGCCTGTCCTCCAGAGTGCATGGGGGGGGATACGGATGGAGCAGACATCATCCCCGGCAGGAGGAGGCAGGGTGACCGAACACCGGATGGAGAAGGCGGCTGGTCCCCAGGCGAGAAGCGGAGCCGGTCCCTTGGAACGAGTGCGACTAGAGACCGGAGACGAAGGCGGCTGCGGTGGGACCGGAGGGACTGGGCGTCTCCGGTAGGAGACTGGTGAGCGGGGCTCAACGCGCAAGGAAGCCAGAGCAGGAGGAGGTGCCACTGCGGAGGATACCGGGGAGGCTGGGTGAGACACGCCTGACGGAGAAGGCCCCGAAGAAAGGGCAGCGGCCGGAGGTGGGGCATCGAAGTCTGCCCATACAAGCGTCGGGAGGGGGGGGGGGGGGGGTGAAGGAGGCTCGCCCATGGTCGCAAAGTAGAAGGGGCGTGTCTGATCGAAGACGACATCATGGGTGCAAATCAGCTGTCTGGTGATGGGGTTGAGGAATAAGTAGTCTGGGGAGTCGGAGTTGTGCCCCAGGTACATGCAGGTCTGGGTTTTGGGACCAAGCTTGCCACCTTGCTTCCTGCGCATATGGGAGCTGAGCAATACATACGCGGTACACCCCCAAACGTGTAGAGAGTGGACGGAAGGCGTGGCCCCAAGCCAGAGAGTGGTAGGTGTGGTGTCAGGCCGGTGGGGATGCGGATAAAGATTGTAGAGGAATGCCGCATGGAAGAGGGCATATCCCCAGAGTGACTGTGGTGCGTTGGTGTGACTGAGGAGGCAGCGAGCGATCTGAACCAAGGTGTGGTTGCAACTCTCTCCAATGCCGTTCTGCTGCGGGCTTTCGAGGAGCGTGAAGGTTTGCCAAATCCCTTGGGCTGCGCGGAAGTCATCGAGTTTGCCATTGCAAAATTCTCCCCCTCCATCAGAATGGAGGCACTTCAGAGGATTGCTAAACGTGACTTGAGCCTGGCGCACCCATGCCATGATAAGTTCAGGTGCCTCCGCCTTGGTATGTAGGAGGTGCACGGAAACATACCGCGAGTGGTCATCGACTAGTGTAAGAAAGTACCGATGACGGCCTCGGGATGCGAGTGGAGCTGGGCCCCAGACATCCATGTGCACTAGGTCCAGCAGAGTAGCTGCGACGGATGGGGAGGAAGGGTGCGGCTGCTGCCTGAGCTTGCTCTTGGTGCAGTCCAGGCAGGTGGGTGCAGGTGAGTCTGTTGGTGGAGGAAGCGCCGACGAGAGGCCAAGGAGAAGTTTCTTGGAAGCGATGCCGGCAAGTGTACGGAGGTTGGGGTGACCCAAGCGATGGTGGTAGAGGATGGTTGGGTTGGCGAAGCTGCGACAGGAACACGGAGTGGTGCTGGCAGCTTGCGCTTGGGAGAGGGCAGCAAGAGGTTCAGGTGAACGCAACATATAGAGCTTGCTGCTGTTGAGTGTGAACCATGCTAGGAGCTTGTTGGACTTAGGGTCGAGGAGGTCATAGTGATCTGAGTGTGCTGGGAAGATCGTGGTAACGCCTGCCCGTTGGAGCTCGTGTTGGGCTACGAGATTGAGGCGTAGTGTGGGAACACACATGCCGATGACATTGGCCGAAGGGAAAGCTGGGCACGGAACTGTGGAGGAGCCCTTGGCGTGTGTTGTGAAACTGGAGTCTACTCCTAGTAGAGGGATTGGTGCCTCGTATAGCTTGAACGAGTGTTCTTCCTTGAGATTCGTGTGAGTGGCCCCACTGTCAAGGATGAACTCTATTGTGGCTGAGGTGCTTTTTGAGCCGGGATACTGCAAAATTGTCTCATTAATCCTGGCAGTGCCAGGGAACAACATGTTAAGGCACACATTAGCATGGGGGGCTACAGCAGCCTGCACAGATTCCTGCGCTTCGACTTGATTGACCTTGCAGCTTGGCGGCTTCGAGGTGGTCCCATTGACGGCATACCACTCGTCATCCTTCTTCTTGAAGCAGGAGGCAAGAGCTCGATGCCAAACAGATCGAGTGAGTATCGGTCGCCCTATGCCCACATCCTTCCACGCGAGTTGGCGTTTGTTCCACGTCCGTTCCCATTTCTGGTCGCGCCCAGCTAATGTGTCCCCCATTCATCTGTTGCCTGCAGGAAGGGTGAAGACCAGCATCGAGGGTATCTGGATGAATGCTACACCCCCAAGCAGTACAAGAAACTTCACCATGTTGTTCTGCCGTTGCAGACTTGGCGTCTCTATCGTGCCAGCAGGAAGTTGCCATCGTAGTCGCTATGGAGGGTCCTAGCAGTGAGGGTCATGATACTCATAGCACACCAAGTGCTGGGAAGGGGGTGCAGCATTCGGAAGATGCGATTCGCCAATATGTACGTCCGCACAGTGAGGAGCAACACTTCCGTAGAAGAACCCTATTTACACATCCTTGTCTTTACCTTGCGCTGAACGAAGACAAACACCACCAACAAGCTGTCCCACCAGTTTGTGGCGAGGCACATCGACAGGCAACTATGCGGTTTGGGCGCGATATTTTTGTGGATACATTGGCTGTATGACCTGGTGCATCGGCGGTATCGGGTAGATATCATTCCGCCCCTAGAAGCACCTCTTTTTCGTCTTGAAAACAAAAAGGACCCTCGACCACAGGAGCAGGATGAGATGTCGTATGGGACCCACAATGGCTGGATTGCCTGGGCAATAAAATGCGCAAGCTGGTTGCTCAGCCAGGTGACTCATGCATTCCGCAGATCTGGGGTGCAGGGCCTGAGCGATGACCGTTGCATGGATTATTACATTGTAGCGCTCGAAGGCTGGGAGCAGGGCGAGATGCGCTCGTCGTACGTCATCAGCATACCGTTTAAACCCGTGTTGATGATGGCCGGCTTCAACGGCGAGCCTAGAGACTACTACATCTGCAGAGCCCACGCCAGGCTCCCGGACCCCACAGAGTGGCTAGCGTTGCAGGCGCTTTTTGTTAAGCATGTCTACCCATGGCTGGAGGAGCAATTAGCGAATGTAAACTTGCACTCTGCCGCTCCTCTTAACGAAATATGCCTTGCGATAATGCCTTTCGACCCCTCTGCTGTCGTCCTACAGGTGGATGCTTGGAACAAGGACAAGACTTCAAAGAATAAGCATCAGGCAAGGCAGAGGTTTCTGGAGACCCTCTAGCTGGTCGATCGGTAGGTTGTCGCGCAGGACCTGGCAATGATGTGTGTTTACTTCAAGACTCACCCCTACAACTCCCGCAACTCTCGATGCCCATGCAAGCGACACCCGTATGTCCAGATGTCCCCGCTATGCTACGAGCCGCTGTTCCAAAAGTGGGCGGTCATCGTTTACCAAATGGATGCGTTCGGGAAGTTGGTTCGGCACAACTCTCACATGTCCGCACAGGTTGTAAGTGCATGTCCACTCTGCCGTTAATGTAGTGATGAGTTGAATCTAACATAGTTATTCCTCGCTGCATGACGTGCTATGTCGGATAACAGCAATGCACAGGATTGAGAAGCTCCATGTCGAGAACGGCTTGATCAGGGGGGAGGCAGGGTGGCTGCAGTCCGAGAACCTCCAACTGCAGGTCAAGGTCGACACCCTGGAGGATAGGGTCCAGGTCCTTGAGCAGGAAGTCGCTTGACGGGCCAAGCGAGAGCGATAACTAGAGGCCGACCTCGCAGAGGTGAAAGTGGGGTCCGAGGATCACAAGGTCTCCGCCGGCGAGCACGCCCCGCCTGCGCCCGCAAGTGTGCCGCGCAGACGATTGGCGGAGCAGATCATTTTCGATGGTCTGCATCTACGGTGGCGTGAGAGCAAGACTGTTAAGGATGTTTGGATGATCTGGGACAAGGTGCACCGGCTCGAGGTTGGCAAGAGCTTACATGGAGTATTCAATGCCACCCCCAAATTCTTCCCCTTTTATTCGAAGTTCGCAGAGGGCAAGGTTCTTGACGCAAAATATGAATCCATTGAGAAGAAGATGAAGCGCATAAAAAAGTTGATCGATGTGGTTGAGCACTTCCGAACGGGCGATACGAAAGCGGCCACGGCTGCGGCGGTGGCGATTGTGGAGCAGCTGAAGGATTTGACCTCCATGAGTGCACTCTCAGATGGCCTTGTTCTCTCCAAGCCACCTTAAAAAAATGGCTCAATCTTCGACCGATGACGGAAAGAAGTCCTTGACGGAGGAACAGTGCGCCCGAGTTGCGTACTTGCTTGTGGCGGCAGGTCTTCAGGATCATGCCTGGGGAAATATGATTTTTGGGGTCGAGTGGCCCCATATGTGGGCAGAAGTGAAGGCAAGGGTAGAAGTAGGGGAGAAGTAGGGATGGGTGGAGTCCGGATAGTGGCGCTGAGATGTACTGCCCTGTTGTCTCGCCGAACATGGAGTCTGGGATTGTTTTGAAGGATGGCGTGGGTCACCCCACTCGTCCACCAGCTCTGGCGTCAGTCACCCTTCTGCCGCTTCCGCTGCATTTCCAGCCTCCTCCACTACAGCCTCCGCAACAGTCTCACCATGCCCCTTTCTCTTCTTGTGTTTTTTCTGCACGATGATCAGCGGACCAACCTCGTATACCTCCAGGATCGCCGACGCTATACCACACAGATTCCATTGCATCACGATGCATGCGACAACCCTTGCCATGCTCTGGACGGTTGGCTCCATCTTCTCCCCCTCAAAATTCTTCAAAATCAAGGATAGAGAATGTCTTCCCAGTCGACCTTATCAGCGATGGTATGTTTAAGCTCGCGCATAGCTGCAATGCCTCTGATTGCGGCTGAGGCGGCCAGGCTCTTGTACTTCACATTGCTCGCCATGGTTGCTCCTTCAGTCGCATCCTCCTTCAGGTCCTCCACTTGGAGGCAGTAGGAGGCGGCCCACAGCGTATATAATGCCGCCGCTATGCCAGCAGAGTAGACAAACGGGTCTACTCCTGCTGGTGGTGGCATCACCCTTTACGCCCCCCACCAGCGACAGCGGCAACCTTCAAGCACAGGGCATGCAGCGAGTCATCAGGTCTCTCCCCCCGCTCTTCTGAGTCCGGCACCTTGCGCCGTTCGTCAAGGTTGGTGAGCGTCACCTCCACGACTGTCTCGATGCTGCATAAAATGCAGAGGAGCGTGTTAGTAGGGTGCATAACAAGGCGCATGACTTGAAGTGAAACGTTGACACCATACACGATGCTAGAGCGGAAATGGAGACGACGGATCACGTATCATGATGGTCGAGGCAGAGTTCGTTCATTACACTCCAGACTCCAGTTGGCAGAAGCTTGGCAAAATCCAGCAAGTCGACCATGGCCACTACTTTCTGGTCTAGCTTATAGTGGTGCAGGTCGACAGTGGGGAAGAACATGCTCCAGCAGACTGCAATCACGAAGTTGCACTTCCACGCATCGACGTGGCAGCCCATGTTGCGCTTCCTGCCCCCCACTATTTGTTCAAAGGCATGCCTTAGCTTTGATGGATTCTCTTTGTAGCAAATGGTCCAGCCCGGGCTTTTGAACGGCTTCCGCAGGCCGAACCTCTTCCCCTTGTCGTTCGTCGCCCCACCGAGGTCTCCCAGTTCTCCCCCTCCTTGTTTTTGGTCCCCACTCCCCCGGTCGCCCCGGCTCCCCTTCCTCCCCGTCCTGCTCCGGCTGGTGTGTCTCACATCATTCCCCCCTCGTCGGTTGTCCCGGTCAAGGAGTCGGCTGACTCCGGTGGCCCGGCGGCACAGCTCCCGCGCTTTCCTCCCCCCCAGTGTCTCCCTCTTCACCGTCGCAGTCGCTGCCGCCGCAGCAGCCGTCGCCGCCACAGCAGCCGCCGCAGCAGCCGTCGCCGCTGCAGCAGCCGCCGCCGCCGTCGCAGCAGCAGCAACCGTTCATGGACTCTGGGGGTGCTGGCCTTGAAGAGGGTGCTAGTCTTGGGGTTCCTGTCGTGGCTTGTCCCGGCGGGCTCGGGGGTGGCACTGGTGCTGGAGAGGGCTCTCGCTCTGGGGGTGCTTGTTCTGGGGGTGCTGGAGTGGAGTGTTCCGGAGGTAGTCGCGTTGCAGCCGGCGGTCCCGGCGTCAGCGTCGAGCAGCAGCAGCAGCAACAGTCGCCGCCGGTGTCCGCCCTTCGCCTGCTCGGCCTTCCCTCCCGTGACCGCTCGCCTCCGCTTCCCCCGCCGCCTCCTCCCCTACCTGTTCACGGCCCTGTGTTTCCTCAACCGAACTCCTCCCCGGCTCGTTTCCTGCCTCATTCCCCTCCTGTTACACCTCCTCTGTCTCCTGAAAATGACACCTCCGTCTCACGTCTGGTCTTGCCGTCCCTCTCGTGCTCGTCCTGTCTCTCCAGTTTAGCGCTCTCACCCTATGTTGCTTCGTTCCCACACATCTTGTCCTCCCCTCCTGCCTTCGCCTCCTCCGTCGTCACTCACTGTCGTGCCCCCCCCCTCTATCTAACTACCTTCGTGCTGCTCGCCCTCTTGTTCCTCGGGTCCTTGCCTCCCTCGTACCGACCTGTCTGTTCCTGTCTCCTGTCTTGACTCTCTTGTCACGGCTGTTGCTGACTTCACCTCTACACGCCGCCTTGACTACGCCACCGCTCTAGTCTCTGACCTTGTCCGTCCTCCGTACGTCGGGGCTGCTCCTGCCCTTGGCAATGACGTCCTAGAGGACAGGAAGTACGAGCTTGCTTTCCTGTCCGAGGTTGCTCCCCATCTCTGCTCCATGGTGCTAGTCCCTGAGGGTGACCCAAAGCAGTAGCAGCAGCCACTATTGTAGCCGCACCGGCATTCGTGCCGATAGTGACGACAGCGACAATCAAACTGACAATGCCGCCCCCATTCAACCCCACAGATAAGCATACTACTGTTATGGGCTGGTTATTTTCGACGGAACTTTATTTCAATGCCGTTGGGATCATTGCTAACGATTTAAAAATTCGACTGGCTATATCACTACTGCGGGGACCTGCACTAGATTGGTAGCGATATACACTACAGGAGGGTGAGTTTTCGATAGGCGACACAGAGGGGTTTTTCGGAACTTTGGGTCTACTGCCCAAGGGTCAACCACGATTTTCGGATTGACCAAGATTCGCACGTGGAAGGCATGGGGTACAGCTCTGCGTGAATGATTTGAGCCAATATCTGCCTCGGACAACGCACGCACGAAGCTGGACAACTGGCGCCAGTGGAGTTCTGTCCAAGATTATGCGTCGGTTTTCATGGCGTTATGCGATCAAATCAACGACATGCATGACTATGAGAAGAAGACTCGATTCATTTCGAGCCTTAAGCAAGACATTAAATACGAGGTTCGCTTGCGACTACCTGTGACGTTACACGAAGCAGTCCGAATCACAGACAATTTCGACGCGCATCGGACGTATGCGAGAGCGGGCTCCCAGGAGGGAAATCATTTTCGCGGCCAGGATCCACGGCCCACGATTCACGGCGTAGTGGTGAAGGAGCACATGGAAGATTTTCGCAAGGGACAATGTTTCAATTGCCACTTGCCAGGTCACCAATCTCACGATTGCCCCCGAAAGAAGCAGATAAAGAAGAACGACGAAGGCAGGTCGGGAAACGCCAAGCGTCAGTAGCGGTCGGGCCCCCTACTGACCCTGCCTCATTGCCCGAAAAACACCATCCCCAGCGGGTAGTAGTTCTGATACACGCTATCAACCGCTCCCGACTGAATAAGGGGGATGACCCAGTGGATCATCCTGTGCTGGCGGAAGGACGACTCAATGGAAAAAAAAAAAAAAAAAAAAAAAAAAAATCATCGACGGAGGTGCGAGTCACAGCCTGATAAATCGGGAGACAGCACGACGACTACATTTATCGTTGGAATAGTGTCTGCCCGAAATAGATGCACGACTGGTGGATAGCACCCTACTGGCGATATGCGACAAACTACCCGTTGTTCGGATGAAGTGTGGCGAAGATCTCGGCTTCAACGCGCCGATGCTGGCAACAACACTCGACGGCTACGATATGCTGTTGGGACGCGATTGGCTGCGAAGATTCAATCCGCAGATCGATTGGACGACAGGCGAGTGCACAGTGAAGTGCGAGAAAGGCTGGCAAAAATTGCCCACGTGGCCAGAAGCAGAGACAGCCTCGACACGAATCAACACTGTGTGCCTCAAGCGAGCGGTCAAGAATGGAGCGGGTTTATACGCCGTCCATCTAACCGAATCAACGGAGCAGAACGAGGCGACCGACATCAACAAACTCTGCGCTTCGGTCCCGGATGACTTGGCAAAAATCATTCGGGAATATCCCGAGATTTTCCCGGACGACTTGCCAAGTGGACTGCCACACGAACGACCCCAAGACCACAAAATCGAGCTGGAGCCCAGCGCGCAGCCTACTGTACAAACTCAATGGTGCTTGACTCAGCCTGAGCTACACGAATTACGGAACCAGCTTGACTACCTGCTGGAAAAAGTGTTTATTCGGCCGAGCACGTCCCCGTTCGCAGCGCCGATCCTGTTCACCCCAAAGAAGGACGCCGGACTTCGCATGTGTACGGACTATCGTGCCCTTAATCGGGTAACGATAAAATTGCGCTACCCAATCCCACGCACAGACGAGCTAATTGACAACCTTCGCAGAGCTCGCTACTTTTCAAAGATCGACTTGCGTGACGGCTACCATCAAATTCGGGTGTTCGCTGACGACTGCCACAAGACCGCGTTTCGTACTCGTTTTGCAAGATTTCGCCAATGGTCTTCAACCAATCGCGTACGAGTCTCGAAAAATGCAATCTGCTGAGCGCAACTACTTGGTACATGACAAGGAGATGCTGGCGATTGTCCACATGTTCAAAATCTGGAGGTGCTACCTGACTGGCGCAGACGTGACGGTGCGAACCGACCATAAATCTCTTCAGTACCTGAGAGCGCAACCGAGTCTCAACACGCGGCAGATACGCTGGATGGACTATCTGGAGTCCAACTTTACGTACAAGACCACTCACAAAAAGGGCGCCAACAATATTGCTGACGCCCTCTCCAGACCATCTGCCCAACTCGCAGCAGTACTAGTCGCCCAGAGCAACCCGCTACTGAGTGGACTATTTACCCACGAGTATTCGACTGACCCCTTCTTCGCAAATGAAGGCCATCTCCAAATCACTACACGGAAAGGCGTCTATCACTTACGAAGTGGGACGGATCGAATTTGGGTCCCAAGTTATCGTCTACTTCGCGAATTACTAATTCAAGAAGTCCACAATTCGAATTTATCGGGACATTTCAAGGTTGATAAAATTCTGAAGGCGTTGTAGCAGTTTTATTACTGGCCAGATATGGTGACAGACATGCAGCGTTACGTGGCCGCGTGTCCGATCTGCCAGCGAATGAAATCATCACATCAGCGACCGACAGGACTGTTGCAGCCCATCGAACCACCTCAACGCCCATGGCAACACGTGACGATGATTTCATCACAGGTCTACCGGCGGGATCCAGCGGAAACGACGCAGTCTTGGTTGTCGTCGACCGATTGACGAAAATGGCGCATTTCGCGCCATGTCGTACAACCATCTTAGCCGAAGAAACCGCGCGACTAATCATCTCGACCATTGTTCGCCTGCACGGGATACCAGCAGCAATCATTAGCGATCGAGATCCGAAGTTCATGTCAAAATTTTGGCAGGACACATGGGCTCGGTACGGCACGCGCCTGCAATTCTCATCCGCTTATCATCCCCAAACGGACGGTCAGACAGAGAGGACGAACCAAACGATGGAACAGCTGATTCTGACAAATTGCCCTGACCAAAACAAATGGGAGGACGCGCTTCCCATGTTGGAATTCTCATACAACAACGCGCCCTCAGCCACGACTAATCACTCCTCATTTTACCTCAATTACAGGATGGACCCCATAGTACTTATCTCCACCAACGTCAAGAGTCAAGTACCACGGTCGCAGCAGTTCGTCGAAGAATTACAGACTGCCCGAGACAAAGCTCTCGAACTTATTCGCAAGGCGAACGCTACTGCTCGACGATATGCGGATTTACATCGACGGGATATTACAATGGCAATAGGGCAACTAATTCTTTTGGACACCAAGAACTTACGGCTACCACTACCGACGAAATTACGACCACGTTTCTGTGGCCCATTCAAGCTCATAAAGATGGTGACGCCGGTAACAGCCCAGTTACGCCTACTTGACGATTGGCCTATTCACAACAAGTTCCACATGAGCCTGTTGCGACCCTTCGTATCCGACACATCGGACATCGCTCGACAGCGATTGGTCCCGGATGTACGGCCACCAGCAAAGACGACCATCGAGCCTTTGAAGATTTTTAGTCATAGGATTCGTATCGACGGCCAAGGACGACACGTTGACTTTCTGATACGATGGACCAATCGTACCAGTGAGGACGACACGTGGGTGCCCTCGGACCAGATACAGTCACCTTCGATACTTGCGAATTATTTGACCCACAAGCACGTAGCTGATATAGATCACCTTCGCTAAGGGAGGGGGGGAGGGGGGAGGGGGGGGGGGGGGTGTGAGGAATTTTCCATTCCTTACCGAGCGGTACTACTATCGCGTACGCTCGAACACACCCGAAGCCTCGGAACGGTTCCGGACCTTTCTGACAGAAACGCCTAGGCTTCTCCAGACCTTCTAGTTCGAACTTCGGGAGTTCTCCGGGCCTCGCTTCGTCACTTCGAGACCCTTCGATCTCTTTCCCGAACCTTCACATCTCATGGTTAGACTAGCTCTGGTGTTCTTATATCTTGGCTTGCCATTCCTTGTATCGTCATTGAGTGATTCAACACTTCGTTATCCATTTCCGCGCTACTCTGCTTGTTCATGCATAACACTGACGAATGGGGAATCATTCAGGCCCTTGTGGCACCCAAAAATGTCCAACCCATGATTCGGCGCGTGAGTGTAACGGGCGGGTCCGCCACAGTAAAGCGAGAAGGGATGGACTGGACTGATCAGACCACGGGAATCCCGCCGCAACGCCATGGGTCAACCACTGGAATCAGGATGCCGAGAAGGTCCATTTCATGTCGGCATCGTCGCCAGCAGTTCAGGATACCAGGGTTGTATTTCGCTGCGACAAATTCTTTTGCATGGCGCGGCTGGCTGCTCGTATGCCCCTGGCTGGCTCCTACCACCCATGCTCTTGTGTGGCTCGTCGCATGCAATGGAATGGCTCGTCGCGTGCAATGAGATGGCTTGTCGCATGCAATGGGATGGGATAGCTTGTCGCATAGTACAATGGTATGGCTTGTCGCATGCCTCGGAGGTGGCTCGTCGCATGCGTCCAGCTGACTAGTCACTTGCATTACCTTACCAGGCCAGCGAACCTGTGGTCCGCCTGCATCACACATCACAAACCAGCAAGTATTCTTCACAGCAAGAATTCTCCCCAGACTATTGGTTGGGAAGAGCAGAGCAGCAGAGCAGCAGAGCAGCACACCACATACATACACTCACGGACCCGTCGTGCTGGTTGTTATTGTTGTGGCTCATCCACAATTCCTTCCCCTAGTTCATGGCATAGAATATACCGTCCTTTCTTTTCTTCACCAAACACTCACGTGATGGCGGCAACCATGGCTTCGTACTATGTCCCGCAGGCTAGTTCCTTCCCTCTTACAGTCCGTGTCTCTAGACCTGTGACGTGTCCGTAGACATCCTTCTCCAGCTTCTATTCTGTCCTTGAGCCGTGATCGGTCTCGTTCGGAAGGTCTAAGTTACACTACGCGGGGAGGTCTTAGCAGTCCTTTCCTTTCTGCTCTAGGTTTCCAGAAGGCCTGCTTCATGTATCTTGCCATTTCGAACCGCTCTTCCTTTTCCTTCGTCCTACTTTTTCCGATCGTCCGTCTCGCACAGCCATGCGATAGAAATCGGGTAACCATGTCGTCGCTCACTCCCACGTACCTCCTCGCTGCCACCAGGGTCCGACGGCCAACGGCATATCGGACATTGAGAGGGAGCTCGAGGAGCTTCGAGACAGCTACCGACAGGTGTGCCTCCGAGTTGGTCACTCTGCGCCGGTCGCTCCGCGTTGGGTTCTGAGGGTTCGTCTCTCTGGGTGGTACCCCATGTTAATGTCCGCGTTTCTGCCGCTCCGCGTTTCTGTCGCTCCGCGTTTCTGTCGCTCCGCGTTTCTGTCGCTCCGCGTTTCTGTCGCTCCGCGTTTCTGTCGCTCCGCGTTTCTGTCGCTCCGCGTTTCTGTCGCTCCGCGTTTCTGTCGCTCCGCGTTTCTGTCGCTCCGCGTTTCTGTCGCTCCGCGTTTCTGTCGCTCCGCGTTTCTGTCGCTCCGCGTTTCTGTCGCTCCGCGTTTCTGTCGCTCCCCGTTTCTGTCGCTCCCCGTTTCTGTCGCTCCCCGTTTCTGTCGCTCCGCGTTTCTGTTGCTGTTCGCCACGAGTTCAGCTCCATGTCTTCCTGAGTTGATGTTTGTAACCACGTGTAGCATCGTGCTGCCATTGCGTGGATTTCTGTGACCGTTGCTGTCCGTCCATCCGTGTCTGCATCAATACACGCTCGCATCCGCGTCGCCGTATATCTGCGCGTTATCGTAACCGTCCGTTCATGTGTCCGTTTCGCACGATCGAATGCCCGCTCATTGGCATTTCTATGTGCTCGCATGTCGTCTCGTGACTCGTCAGGCTCAATCGTCTGTGCGTCCTCATTCCCGTCATGCGTTCGCATCACAGCAACGCCCGCCCAATTGAATGTCCCTTGCAATCTTTCCGTAACGCGATCGGTGTGGGCCTTGCTGCACGTTCCAATGTCCGCATTTCCGCATGCTCGCATGTCCGCATGTCCGCATGTCCGCACGTCCACGTGCCCGTGCGGGACATGGCACTGCTTGGCTTGTTCCGAGCCTTTTCATCTGCCACCTTGGAATCCCCTTCACCCCACTTCTGTCCCCCTCACATACTTCGGTTCTCCCTAAAACCCGTTACCATGCGCTCAGTTGTGCGAGGAGAGGGACGCCCTAGGAACGAAAGCGAGGATCTTCTGTTGGAGGAGCAGCTCTAGAGGGACGCCGCCCTAGAGGGACGCCCTAGAGAACCTTCTGTTGGAGGAGCAGCTCAAGATCGGCGCGCCTTCTCCTTCCAGATTCTGCCGATCTGATCTCAACCCCCCCTCAAATGCTTCGGTTCTCCCTGAAACCCGTTGCCGTGCGTTCAGGTGTGCGAGGAGCGGGACGCCTTAGAGGACCTTCTACTGCAAGAGCAGCTGAAGAACGGCGCGCCTGCTGTGAGCCCTTTCTGCCCCCCGACAAGACAAACAGCTCTTTCGCTTTCCTTCCACGTTGTAGCGATTCCGCCTTTTTCTGGTGACGCTGTAAGGCTCAACGTTTTTAAACGACGTGGCATGAGGTTTCTGGTTTGTGTGATGGGCGTAATGCTCTCGGGCTTGTTTTGACAAACAGTGGGGTTTTTTTGTGGGGTTGTTCTGTCTGATGTGATTGACAGGACAAGCAGCTAGAGGAGGAGAGGGCTCTATTTTTTAGGTGTCTCAAAAATATTTTTGACTCTACTTTTGAGGCGCCTAAAAAATATACATCTTTTGTGGGCTTGTTCTGTCTGATGTGATTGGCAGGACAAGCAGCTAGAGGAGGCGAGGGCACATGCAGCAGCATTGGAGATGGAGCTACAATCCATGGCCTCCCGCTGCGGTGAGTGTGGCTGAGAGCCCGTGCACACATGCTTGTCCCGAGTAAGCATGTAAAACGAATGTTTTTGTCCGAATAATTGCGAATAGGAACTGAATTTGTATTTGCCCGAATAGTTTCTTCCCCGTCGAATACGAATTCGAGTCGAATACTGGTGAAGACGAGACGAATACGAATGTGTCTCGAATACTCGGGCTATACACCTTTTTTTGTCACGAACCCATTCTGCTTAGTGCATTTTAGGAATTATGGTCTACGAAATGTCTGCTGCTCGCCGAGGCCCAGCCCAGATCGGTGGTAAGGATTACAAAATCGACCTTAACACTCAATGCTCACCTTCTTCACCCTGGACAACCTAGATCCCTCACAGTACTGGAGGCTGCTGCTCCACCTCACTACCCACGTCCTTTGATTGCCCTAAACCCTCCACCTCACTACCCACGCACTACCGGCTATCCTCCTCTAGTTGTGCTAATTCAGGTCTTTGGACGTCGTTAAACTATGCTACTTTAGCACCACCCTGATTGATTTCTGACGACATATTTCTTCAGTATCGGACGTTTCCCCTTGCCCCCCTCTAAACAACAGGGCGAGATATGATGCCGTTTTGAATGCGAATACTTTGCGAATAACCCAAATATTGGGGGCACGAATATTTGTCCGAGACGAATATTTGACCCCGCGAATACCTCCGAATAAACAGCCAATTCGAATTCGTTTTGTATTTGGGTATTTGCCGAATATCGAATAGTGTGCGAATACCGAATTTTGTACTTACAGGCTTAGTCCCGAGGTGACTTTTGAGTCGTCTCAGGAGTCATGCAGCAGCGTTGGAGCTGGCGCTACAATCCATGGCCTCCTGCTGCGCTGCGGTGAGTGAGCGGGGCTGGCTGCTGGCCCCCCACGGACAACGCACGCACATGGTTGCCCGCAGGCTACTTTTGAGTTGACTAACAAGTCACCTAGCTAGCAGCGTTAGAGATGGAATCACAGTCCATGGCCTCTCGCTGCAGTGAGTGTGAATCATGCCTGCCTATCAGTCAAACTCGACCCCCTTGTCTCCCTACTGTATGTATCTCCGCTCATCCTTCCTCTTTCTCCCGCCTGTGCGTGCAGAGGAGTGGAAGCGGAGGGCGGGGGAGAGGGCGGCGGAGATGCACCCAGCCATGGTGCAGGCGCTGCTGGAGGAACGCCTGGAGGAGCTCGACGAGTCGGGAGTGCTGGCCTTGCAGGTAGGGTTCAGTTGAGGAAGCCAGAGTGCTGGTGGTGAGTATATATAACGGTAGGCTTACTGATCCCTGGAGTGAGGCCAGCGAGAAGCTCGATGTTTTTCAAGTTAATCGGGCTGCACGCAGGTAGGGCCAGGCTGAGGGGGCTGGATTGCTCAAAGGTCATCTGGAAGCTGGAGGCTGGGGCTGGGGCCAGAAGTCTATTCAGTCATGATGAGCTTTTTTTCTAGGCGCCTCAAAACTTCAGTCATGATGAGCTCGATGGTTCTAAGAAAGCTGCGCTGCACGTGATTTTGCTGGTTGGGTTGGGTCTTGTTGCAGGTAAGTCAAGTTGCAGGCCAGGCTGTGCTGATGTAAGCTCACTCACGGTATGCTTAGTTAGCATGTGCGTGTCCCTCGGATGGACCGCCTTCGCCCCCTCCCATCTGGAAGCTGGAGTCTGGGGGCAGAAGTCTAGTTAGTCATGAATCATGATGAGCCCGATGGTTCTTTCTATGGGAGCTGCGCTGCAGGTGATTTTGTTGGGTCTTGTTGCAGGTAAGTCAATCAGCTCAGGCCGTGCCGTGCCGATGTAAGCTCACGGTATGCTTAGTTAGCATGTGCGTTTCCCTGGGACGGACTGCCTTCGCCCCCTCCCGCTTATTTTTCCTTTTGTTCCTGTCCGCATGCTTGGCGTGGCTCCTCCGCGTTCCTGCACGCGTGGCGTGGCTCCTCTCCTCCGCGTTCCTGCACGCGTGTCTCCTCTCCCCCATGGCATGCCCCTGCCCGCCACGTGGAGTGCGCTCGTTGTTTTAGTCGATTCAAAAGCCTTCGCCCCCTCCCACTTATTTTTCCTTCTGTTCCTGCACGCGTGTCTCCTCTCCTCCGCGTCCCTGCCCGCCAGGTGGAGTGCGCTCGTCTGCGCGACGAGCTGGCCAAGTCCGAGGTGCTGCGGTTTGAGCTCTACCGCAGCCTGGCGCAGGGCGCAGGTGAGGCTGGTGGGGTGAGCATTCCAGGTGAGGCTGGTGGGGCGCAGGTGAGGCTGGTGGGGTGCGCAGGGTGTAGGTGCTGCGGTTCGAGCTCTACCGCAGCCTGGCACAGGGCGCAGGTGAGAGCCTGGTGTGAGCGTTCTCTGAGCATGGTCCTACACAGCGTGCAGGTAAGCAAGCATGGCCGTGCACCACAGGGTGTAGTTGCTTTGCTGCGGCTGAGCTCTTCCACAGGGTGTAGTTGCTGCGGTTGATCTCTTCCTCAGCCTGCCGCAGGGCGCTGGGCGCAGATGAGCCTGGCATGGGTGCGGGGAAAGATGCGGAACAGGGGTGGGTGGGTGGGTGGGTGGGCGTGGGTGGGTAGCATTGGCTGGCCAAATCCGAGGCGCTGCGGTTCGAGCTCTACTGCAGCCTGGCACAGGGCGCAGGTGAGGGGTTTGCTCAGGGCACAGGTACGCGTTGCATGGAGTCAAGGTAAGCATAGCCGCGCACAGGGAGCACATCCGCGGTTCTAGCTCTACTGGAGCCTCTCTTGCGGAGGGTGCAGCGCAGGTGAGCACATTGCATGGGATCCAGGCCAGGCAAATTGCAGGTTAGGCTGGTCTCTGCACAGGGTGCATGCCTGCCAACACGATGTAACATCGTGTTGGCTTGGCATTGCACGTGGTGTAGGTGCTGAGGTTTGAGTGCTACACAGCGTCGCCCCGTGTTCCTCCTAGTTTTATTGATATAATCCCCTCCGTTCCGTACCCCTTCCACTCCTGGTGCGTCGCTCGTGGACACCCCTCCTTTCCCGGGCATGGCTCAGCAAGTGCTAGACGCAAAACCCCCTCACCCCAATCTCTACCCTGTTTGCCTCATGCCCCCCCCCACCCCCCCACTCCCCCACCCCCTTAATGTCCCTTCCCCGGGTATGGTAATCCAGTGGAAGTGGAGAGCAGGTGGGACTCAGAGGCCACAGGCTTGTCACCATTGACCGAGAGAGATGTCTTTCGAGTCAACTCTAAAGCCCCCTCGTTCCTCCCCCCACCCCTCCCCCCCTCTCTTTCTAAACCTTCCTCCCCCGGGCATGGTCTCTCAGTCGAAGTGGAGAGCAGGTGGGAGTCAGAGGCGTCGGGCATGTCACCGCGGAGGGAAAGCAGCTTGGGCCGTAGGGATGAGGAGAGGTGAGGAGACGGGAGGGGAAAGAGGTTCGGGATGGAGGTAATGGGGAAGTATGGTGGGCAAGTGGTGCGAGTCATAGGCGTCGGGCAAGTCACTGCGGAGAGAAAGCAGCTTGGGGGTCAGAAACAGGGGAGAGGTGAGAAGGCGGGAGGCGCCTCAAAGGAGAAAGCAGTTTCGGGGTCAGAGACAGACAGGGAGAGGTGCGAAGGTGGGAGGGACAGGGGTGCGTGGGGGGAGAGGACGAATGAGTATGTTGTCTTCAGGGCGCAGTCCCTGTTTTGGATCCTCTTTGTCACGTCTCTTTGCGTGCTCTGCTGGTTATTATAACTTAACAGTGATTTGTTGGTGCTCTTTCTGATGCGGATGCCTATGCTGATGTCTGTGGGTGGCCATGCTGTGTGTGTGTGTGTGTGTGTGTGTGTGTGTGTGTGCGTGCGTGCGTGCGTGCGTGCGTGCGTGCGTGCGTGCGTGCGTGCGTGCGTGTCTGTGTGTCTGTGTGTCTGTGTCTGTGTCTGTCTGTGTCTGTGTCTGTGTCTGTGTCTGTGTCTGTGTCTGTCTGTGTCTGTCTGTGTCTGTGTCTGTGTCTGTGTCTGTGTCTGTGTCTGTGTCTGTGTCTGTGTGTCTGTGTCTGTGTCTGTGTGTCTGTGTCTGTGTCTGTGTCTGTGTGTGTGTGTGTGTGTGTGTGTGTGTGTGTGTGTGTGTGTGTGTGTGTGTGTGTGTCTGTGTGTCTGTGTCTGTGTGTCTGTGTCTGTGTCTGTGTGTGTGTGTGTGTCTGTGTGTCTGTGTCTCTGTGTCTCTGTGTCTGTGTCTGTGTCTGTGTGCACAGGCATAGTAATGATGGTGATGCTGAGGATGCATCAGAGCGACGAACAACCCCTGTAACGGTGGGTCTTGTTCAGTTCAGTCACACGATGGTGGTCGTGTTATCTCGTGTCCCCTCATGCCAAGCCATGTTATCATGTACATAATTCGTGTAATGTCAAGTCAATCTTGACTCATGCTGCATGCGTGTGATGTCGTATAACCTTTCGAAGCGACAATCGACTCAGGGTTGATTCTTTCGCTTCCTTGCTGTCCCTCATGCCCCTGCTCGTCCTCCTCTCTCTGTCACGACTCATGACTCCTTGTGTGCGTGCGCTGCTTTGGAGTGTGACGAGTTGACTCAATACCACCCCCCCACCCTTCCCTCCCCTCCCTCTCTCTTCTCACCTGTTGTTGCCTCCCATCCCCCACCATCCGTGTCAGATGGAGTGCGACGAGTCGGTGGTGCAGGAGCTGCTGGAGCTGGGACAGGCGTCGCTGACGCAAGAGGATGTCACGCGGCTGTCAGAGGCAGTCGAGGTGTGCTGTGAGGGGGCTGTGCGTGTCTGGGGGATTGGGGGATTGGGGGTTTGGGAGGGGAGGAGGGGGGGGGGACTGTTACGGGGTTGAGGCTGTCACGAGCTGCTGGAGCTGGGGCAGGCGTCCCTCACTCAGGAGGATGTGGCACGGCTGTCAGTGGGAGTCGAGGTATGATATTTGACGGTTGAGAGGCAGGTGGGTGAGGGTTGTGGGGAGTGAGGAAGTGTGGACGTGCAGAGAGAGATCATCTGCAGGATGTGGGTGTAGACTGGTTGGGGGATGGCATCACCTGGTTCACATCACATCAGCACACCGTGTCGAGTCTATCATTGAGGCGCCTAAACAATAGAGAGCATCAGCAGGATGTGGGTTTAGACTGGGTGGGAGATAGCATCACCTGGTTCACACCAGAACGCCGGCCTGCTGGTGCTGTTGCCGTTACTTCCCCTCGTCCCTCCCACATCCCCCCCCCCCCCCCCCCCCCCCTTCCGGTTCCCCCTTCCCCCTCTCTCCAGGCGGCAGAAAGGCGGGCAGAGAAGGCAGAGAGGGAAGCAGAGCAACGGGCGGTGCAGGTGCAGCTGCTGGAAGCGAAGATGGCTGCAATGTTGGTGAGTGAGACGGGGCACTGATGCATCTGTGCTTGCATACATGCAACCTTGCATGCCTGCTTGCACCTTCTGCCAACCAAGCAGAGCAGGTGCAGCTGCTGGAAGCCAGAACGGCCGCCATGATGGTGAGACGGGGGGGATGGTGAGACGGGGGTGATGGTGAGACGGGGGGGATGGTGAGACGGGGGTGATGGTGTTGAGATGCGGTAGTGAGGGTGAGCGTGCACCGTGCAAACGTGCAGGTACTGCTGCTGTGGGCGAAGAAGGCCGCAATGATGGTGTGGTGAAGGCCCTACCACTGAAGGCTACGATATGCAGTGGTAGAGGGTAGGCAGGCATGCACGTGCATGCTCATGTTACAATGCAGGTACTGCTGCTCTCCTGTGGGCGACGACGGCCGCAATGATGGCAAGATGGTGCTGTGTTATACATGTGTGCACGCTTGCATGTGTGGCACTGGAATGCGTGCTGAATGCGTGCGCCTTATGCTTATGCCAAGCAGAGCAGGTGCAGCTGCTGGAAGCGAAGATGGCTCTCTGATGATGGTGGCATGACATGGCCCATGAAGCTATGATGACAGCAAGTCATCTCATGTCATGATTATGGTCAGAATGACGTGTCATGATGGATTGATTGCGCTGCAGTGGTGTGTTCCTGTGATGTCTCACAATGTTCTGTGACACTCTGCCACCCAAGAGCTTCCTCCTGTTTTCGGCTCTCGCCTTTACTCCCTCTTGCCTGCCATTCGTCAGTTGTGCCTCAGACCTCTCACCACCCCCCTTGTCTGTTGACTCCTCCCTTCCCTCTCTCACTCGCCCCTACTCACTCACCCATCCTCACCCTTCCTATCTCTCCCCCCCAACCTCCTCCAGAGCGACAGTCCCATAGACGAGCACAAGCGATCCCCTTCTCTCATCTCCTCCTCCCCCATCTCCTTTGGCCTCTCCCCCATTGCCTCCTCCTCCTCGCCCGACCCCGCCTCCATCACCCGCTCCAGCAGCAGCAACGCCTCCCAGCACGACCAGCAACACAGCCAACAGCACGGCCAGGAGGAAACTGTACAGTGCAGCCAGCAGCAACGGACATTCCAGCAGAACCAACAACAACCAGGGGGTCAAAGCCAGGGCACAGGAGCACAGCCTGGTATAGGAGGCGGCGAGAAAAGAGAGAACTCGGGAGCAGAATTGGCAGGACCAGCACCAAGGGTCAATGGTGTGAGCAGCAGAGGGAGCAATGTGGTGGTGGCGGAGGGGCATGAATGGGTGGGTGCTGGAATTGACGGGAAACATCACGCAGCATTCGAAAGAAGCGCTCTAGGTGCGGTTGTGGAGCAACGGGGAGGGACAGAAGCAGGAGAGAAGGAAGAAGAGATGGAAGAAGTGGAGGAGAATGAGGTGGAGGAGTTGAGGCAGTTGGTGCAGAGCGTGCGGAGGCAGAACCGGCTCACCCACGTGCTGCTGTCCGTGGTGTTTGCTGCCTCCATCCCCCCTCTTCTAGGCATGATTCGCGGGCTCTTTGACGGGGGGCGACCGTACCAGCCTAAGAGGCCGGGCCAACCGCCGCAGGTGACACGGGTTTCCATCAGGAGCTAGTAGCTGGTCAGGCAGCTGTAGTGGCAGCAGGGGCAGCAGTGGCAGCATTAGCAGCAACAGCAACAGCAGCACCAGAAGCAGCACCAGAAGCAGCACCAGAAGCACCAGAAGCACCAGCAGCAGCACCAGCAGCACCAGCAGCACCAGCCAGCAGGAACAGAGGCAGCGTAACTGGGCACATTCCTATGAGTAGTCACACGTGACAAGTAGCTGTATCATCCTTAGTACGACCATCCACAACCACCCACCGCTACTGCCACCATGCACCATCACCGCCTCGGCCATTCAACACCCTTGAGCCCCACTTGGTTCTGAGGTGACTTTTGAATCGACTTAAAAGTCACTCGTTACAATGTCACACACCACTGCTACTGCCACCATGCACCATCACCACCACTGCCTCCGCCATTCACCACCCTCGAGCCCCACTCTTGGTTCCTCCTGCCAGCCAACGAGTTTGATCGCAGCCGTGAAATGAAATTTGGTTTTGAGACGTCTCAAAACCAAGATCATTGCCACCACATCCGTCAAGGAGGTTGACTGCAGCCGCAGTGGCGCTTTTCATCTTTCTTTAAGAATCACAACTCAACTGCCAACTCGTCCAACAACCAGCTCACGAGCTCTCTCTTCACAATCGGTCACAAGGCTGAATGTCACTCATGTAACTTATTCTTTGGTAGCAACACCATCTGCAAATCAACACCTGCCAACAACAGCACCACCGCCATCAGCACCATCAGCACCATCACCATCAGCACCATCAGCCATGCACCGGCTCCCATCCCTCCTTCATCCAGCCATGTGCCCTGCTGTGCGCCCGCCATAGTCACCCGCTTCTGTTGACGCAGCTGCCTGAGTTTGTCACCACAGAAATTGGATTCGTTTCATCCCCATCCTGCCATGCACCAGCTCCCATCCTTCCGCCATGCAGCCATGTTCCCTACTGTGAGACGGCCACGGATGGACCACTCCTATCCTTCCACTCAGTAGCACTAATTTTCAGAGGCGTTAACGCAGGAAATTTGGGTCCATCTAAGCCCCATCCTTCCACAGAGCTTCCATCCTTCCCGTATGCAGATATCTACTGTGCTGTGAGCCTTCTACAGCAATCAGCTATGACCAGCTCCTTCCTTCCTGCAGAGTTCCTCGCTAGGGCAACATGCTGCTGCGCCCTCCCATCCGGATTCCTGCATAGCAGCACTATTACAAGGTCCGTCATGTTCCCATCACTTTGTCTTGGTGCACTGCAGTGCAGATCTTTTAGGGCTTCGTCACAAGGTGAATCTCCACCACAAATCAGAGGGCACGTCCTCCAAATGTTTTGCGGTTTTGCACTACCACTTTCGCGTAGATTACATATGTAGCTTGCATTGTAGAAATCTTCCCTATCTATTGATTTGTACTACGGTACCTTAGAAAGTACCAAGACGTCACCAAGTGATGCGTTTCCCGCCAAATCTGGTGGTCGTCCAGTGATCAGTGCGCACACGGCCATTCAGAAATGACGCGGACTTGACGGTTGGCTTTGGGGCAGGACTCAGGTCAGGAGGAGGGAGCACAGCACACGCTGTGGCGTGGAGTAGGTTGTGTTAGGCGCAAGCGAGCAGATATTGCAGATTGGTTTGGGTTCAGAGTGGGCGCTGAACTGGTGCTGGCAACTCCAAGGGTTGTAAGGCGTACTCGAAGCTGGCAAGAACAGGTGCAAATGTCGTCAAAATAACCGAATTTTGAGCTAGATTCCCGAAACCACGTGCACTGTTGACCGAGGATGAACCTGTAATGGCACAAGGAGTTCGATTTCCTGGAGAAGTAAGAACACATCCTCGTCTGTGCTAGCATCAGGCGTTTTGCCCAAAACGGCCTTCACCCAACCCAACCTACCCATAAGGGCGTGTCCAGCGCGATTGTGGTTGGGTGAGGGAGTGCCCCGCGCGTACGTTTGATTGCGGTTGGGAAAGATGCTCTGCGAGTCAGAAAGTTCGAATAGCAGTCGGAAACGGTTGGGTAGGGTATTGAGCTAGAACGTGCGCGCGGACACGCCCTGAGGTGTCTCACCGATCAGAAGGGTCGAGAACAAATCTAAAACAGTTGGGTGAGGTTTTGCCAAAAATCGTACGCGCTAGACATGCCCGAACAGAACGAGTATGGCGGACTAGGTTGCTGGAATCAACTTGCTTTTCCTTGCTGCATTTCTTTTACCCGTTCGTCCACGTCAACCAGTGACTAACAAACCTTGGTTTCGCTTACGCTGCTGCGTTTTGGTTTCGTTCCAGTTTATGCGATGCCTGACGGACCCCGTCGCCTTACCCTCACGCTTCTGTTCGCGTCCCTTACGTATTCACTCCTGATAGTCACATATCATGACGACGTCGTTAGTTGTTCCAAAAGCGAATAGCCACAGGAGAAGCTGCAGCGACGGAAACGGGAGACGTCAGTCGCTGAGAAGTAGTAACGGCAATAGCAATAGTCGTATAAGTAAGCTTGGTTCTAGAAGCGTAGGCACGTGCGACACTCATAAACGAGACACATTAGGGGGAGGCGTTGTCATTGACAGGACGACCACCAAGGCTAGCTTAAGGTCAAAACGCAGAGGCTCCGATATAGTCACAGCCACAAACGAGAACTTTCGAACGTCAGCAACACGTGCCCCAAGATAGCACATCCGCTTTGGCTCCCAGGCTCAGCCGGGCTTGACCACTCCGAGCCTGTCCCCGCCGAACCTGGCGGGCCATCAGGCATGGCTGCCGAACCTGCAAGCTCGGGGCTGAGAATAAACTGCTGGTGCCGGAGACTACATAGACTCCATGAACTACATAGACCACATCGACTACATACATTTCTTCTAGTTTTTATACACGTGCTCTCAATAACGCGGACGGCTGCTCAGAGTCCAGTCGATGTGGATAAGGCGGCTCTGCTGAACTTTAAAGCCCATGTCACAGAAGATCCTACAGGTAAGACGCTGTCTTTTGCGACCCCCGCCTTCCCCTTCTCCTCACTCACTCCTCTGCTCTCCCTTCCACTACCCCCCTTCTTTTCCCCGGGCTTTCTTCTGGTTTCATCTCCCTCCATGGAGTTTCGAGTGACATGTCTTTCCCCACCCTCACCATCCCTCTCAGGCGCATTATCCTACTCGGGCCCCAACCATCCCTATCCCTACCACCCCCTCTCAGGCGCGCTGTCAACCCTGACTTTTCCCCCGACGTATGCTCCTGCCTGGACCGGCGTCGAATGCAACCCCTTCTTCTCCCTCCCTAACCCATGCTCCCTTCCTTATCTCTTCTTTCTGTCCCCCCGATCTCCCCCCCCAGGCGCGCTGTCCAACTGGAACCCCGACGACCCCGACCCGTGCTCCTGGACGGGCGTCGACTGCAACCCCTTCTCCCGCCGGGTCACTTCCCTCTCCCTCCCCTACCGCTCCCTCTCCGGCTCCCTCGACCTCCCAGACCCCTCCCTGGGCTCGCTCACCGACCTCCTCCACCTCTCCCTCACCGGCAACTCCTTTCCAGGCTCCTTCCCCTCTGCCCTCGCCCTCCTCTCCTCGCTACAGTCCCTGGAGCTATCCGAAACGGAGCTGTCAGGGAAAATCCCCGGGAATACCCTCTCCGCCCTCCGCCGTCTAGCCGTTCTAGACCTGCGCAAGAACACGCTCTCGGGGTCAATACCCCCAGAAATCTCGGCTCTCAACTCACTAATCAAACTAGACCTAAGAGAAAACGCTCTCTCGGGCTCCCTCCCTGCAGAAATGCAATCCCTAGGTCAGCTGCAGGACATGCTGCTGGACTACAACCAGCTCTCCGGCCCCCTCTCGCCCGGTCTCCTAGCGTCTCTCCCCATCATCCAAACCATCTCAGCAAGAGGGAACGGATTCGAAGGCTCGGTCCCGAAGGAGCTAGGGTACGCGCAGCGGCTTTCAAGGTTGGATCTGGGGGGAAACAGGCTGGATGGGAGCATTCCAGAGACGCTGGGGCAGATGTGGAGTCTGACTTCGTTGAGGTTGGACTCGAACCGGATAGGAGGGTTGATTCCGACGAGGCTGAACACGCTGGCGCAGCTGCAGGTGCTGACGCTGAATGGGAACGATTTAGTAGGGGAACTTCCCCCGTTTAATGGGCTGGAGAATCTGGTTCGGTTTGACGTGTCGAATAATGATTTGTTCGGGTCGACGCCGGCAGAAGGGCCCCTGGCGAAGTTCCCCCCGTCCTCGTTTGAAGGCAACCCGGGATTGTGTTATGGGGAATGCCCGCCCTCCCCCCCCTGGTGGGACCCCAGTCCGCCCTCCCCTCCCCCTCGTGCCCCCCCGCCCCCCTTCGTCTCCCCATCCGCTCCTCTTCCTCCTCCGCCTGCCTCTCCCCCACCGCAGGAGCCCCCTCCCCCGGTTCAGCCTCCTCCTCCTCTTCTCCCTCCACCTGTGTCCACTCCCCCTAACGCTCCCCCTCGGCTTCTTCCCCCTCCTCTTTCTTCTCCTCCTCTTCCTTCCCCTCCTCTGCTGCTCCCCGCTCCCCCTTTTCCTCCCCCCAAGCCCCCCTCTCCCCCCCGGAAACGCCCGCCCCCATACCCCCGCTCTCCCCCTCCCAATCCCCCCCCTTCCCCCCCAACCTCCCCTTTCTTCCCCGAAATCACCCCTGCAGGTCCCCCATTGTCCCCCCCCCCAAGCGCACTCATCCCCCAAGACCCCCATCCCGCCACCCCCGTCCCCCCTGGCCTCCCCCACAACCATTCCCTCCTCCTCGCCCCCATACACATCACCCTCTTCCCCCCAGCAAGCCCCCCTCCCCCCCACGCCCTCCCCCCCGTCCGCCTCTGACCCCTCCCCCACTTGCGCCTCCCCCTGGTACCGCCCCCCCGCCAGGGGAAGGGCCTTCCCCCGCCCCCTCTCCTTCCCCCAGCCCTTCCCCCTCATCCGCACCCTCTCCCGCTCCCACTTCTTCCCCCTCCCCTACTCCTGCTCCCGCTTCCCTTCTCCCTCCTCCTCTCGCCCAACCGCCCATTTCTCCCCCTCCTAATTCCTCCACTCCCCCACCCTCCCAAGCAACACCTCCTCTCCCTTCTCCTCTCACCCCTCCTCTCACTCCCCCTCTCACTCCCCCTGCCACCCCTCCTTCAAACTCCCTCCCACCACCACCACCACCAGCACCACCGCCTGGTGATTCGTCTAGTAACCTAGACGTATCCTCCTCCCCCACCCCACCTCCCCCCTCTACAAGCACCAACCCCTATAGTAACGACCTGGCCTGGTGGCAGCTGCTCGCGTTATGTGCTGCCTCGTTACTAGCAACTCTGCTCTTTGCAGCGCTGTTCACCTTTGGATGCCCGTATCTCTGCGGCATGGCAGCACGGGCGAAGCACAGGTATAATGGGGTGCCTACTAACGAGGATGCTGCTATTAAAGCGGAAGCTGAAGCAGCAGCGGCGACGGCGGCGGTGGCAGGGGGAGCAGGAGCAGGGACTTATAGCGGGCCGTACAGTAACGAGTATGGAACGGGAGGAGCAGAGGGAGAAGGGGGGATGGGGATGCAGGGAGGGGAAGGGATGCCTGCTGGTGGTGCTGCTGGTGGTACAGCAGCAGGCGGGGCAGCAACAGCAGCAGCAGCAGGAGGAGGAGGAGGAGCAGGAGCAGCAGGAGGAGCAGCGCTGATAGGAGCAGCTGCTGCTGCAGCTGCAGTGGGTATAGGTGCTGGTGCTGCCGGTGCTGCAGCAGCAGCCGGCTCAAAATCACCAGGAGGGGCCGGAGACGATGATGATGATGATGCAGATGGTGTGGCGGCAGGAGCAGGAGGGGAGAGCAGCTCGTTGCTGGTGACCATGTTTGACGGGAGGGCCGTGCGTGCATCCGCGTTATTAGCAGCCACGGACGAGTTCGGGCAGAGCAAGATGATCACGAGGGGCCCGGGGCCCAGCGGGGGGACGGCGTTTGTGGCGGACATGCTGGGGGACGAAGGACCCATGCTCGTGGCGAAACTGCTGCCCACGGTGACAGAGCAAGGGGAGGATGGGGAGGAGTTTCCTGTTCCTATGAGTCTGAATATGGAGGTGAGTGGGGTGGCGTTTGTGGCGGACATGCTGGGGGACGAGGGGCCCATGCTCGTGGCGAAGCTGTTACCTACTGTTGCAGAGCAAGGGGAGGACGGGGAGGAGTTTTCCCCGTACCCATGAGTTTGAATATGGAGGTGAGGCTTTTGCGGGCTCGAGCAGACATCCGCCCCTCAAACGGGCTGCATCTGGCGTCAGCCGCCCACCAATCATCCCCTTGAAGCCCAACCTTGTTCCCATTCCCCCCAGGTGATGCGGGGACAGGCAGAAATCAGCCACCTTGGACACGCGCCACGAATGAGTTTTTTTCTATATTCGCCACTTTTCAACTGTTTCGGAAACATCCCACTTTGCCCCCTTCCATGATTCTTACGCCACCAGGAATTGCGCGCTCTAGCGGAAGTCAACCACCCGAACCAGACATGCTTCATCTGGCTGGCATCTGCCACCCACAAAGTATTTCAGAAAACCCCATCCCGCGCTTCCATTCCCCTCAGGAAATGCGGGCGCTGGCGGAGATCGACCATCCGAACGTGCTACCACTGCTGGGTTGCTGGGAGGATGAGATCACGGGGAGGCGCGTGCTGCTGTACGAGCTCATGCCCAATGGGGATTTGAACGACTTCCTCTATGATGAGGTGAGTGACTAGCCTCTTGCATGTGGTGTGACACTGTGAGGGTGTTGATGGTGGGATGCGGACCTTGTGCCTGCTATTGAGAAGATGAGATCACGGGCAGGTGGGTGCTACTGTATGCCCAACGGGGTGACTGTTGAGGCGACTCAAAAGTCGGTACTTTTGAGTTGACTCATAAGTCACTGCTGTACGAGCTCATGCCCAACAGGGACCTCAACGACTTCCTCCACGATGAAGTGAGGGGTTGGGGTGAGGTCTCGATGGCGGGGTGAGGGCTCGATGGCGGGGTGAGGGCTCGATGGTGGGGTGAGGGCTCGATGGCGGGGTGAGCGCTCGATGGCGGGGTGAGGGCTTGATGGCGGGGTAACGTTCCGCTGGGGATGATGGGGATAAGCGCCTCGTTCACAAGCCTGTCTTCCTCATTATACCTTCTGAGTCGACTCAAAAGTCACCTCGTTCACACGCCTGTCTTCCTCATTATACCTTCTCCTCTTTCCTGTCCTCCCTCCTTCCCGCCGTCTCTCCTCCCCTCCTCTCGTTTCCTCCCTTCCTTCCCTCCTTTACTCCATTCCCCCTTCCCTGCTCTCCCTCTCCCCTCCTTTCCTACGTTCCTTCCCTCCAGCAGCTGTCTGAAAACTCGCTAACATGGGTCGCCACAAAGAAAGTGGCTCTGGGAAGAGCGCATGGCGTGGCCGATCGGCACACGCTCACTCTCCTTCCCTCGTTTCCTCTTTTCCTCCCTCCCTCCTTTCCCTCCATCCTTTCCCTCCCTCCTTTCCCTCCCTCCTTTCCCTCCCTCCTTTCCCTCCCTCCTTTCCCTCCCTCCTGTTAAGGAGCCCTCTGAGAACTCGCTAACGTGGCACGCCAGGAAGGAAGTGGCGATAGGGATAGCTCAAGGGGTGGTGCACCTGCACGCGCACACTCTGCCTCGGCCGTCCGGCTCGCAGCTAGCCCCTGACCCTCTGGTGCATGAGTTGCTAACGCTCCGTGCTTCCCCTTTGTTTTTGCTCATTCCGCCTTCCTTTCTGAGCAGGAGTTGTCTGAGAACTCGCTAACGTGGGACGCGCGGAAGAAAGTGGCGACAGGGATACCTCAAGGAGTGGCGCACCTGCACAGGCTCACTCTGCCGCACCCACCCTTGCCCCCCAACACTCCCTTGCTTCCTTGCAACCAGGAGCTTTCTGAGAACTCGCTAACGTGGGACGCGCGGAAGAAAGTGGCGATAGGGATAGCCCAGGGCGTGGCCCATCTCCATACCCTCACTCTCCCGCGGCCGCCCGGCTCCCAACTGGCCCCCGACCCTCTGGTGCACGGGTCGCTGCATCCAGGGAACATCCTGTTGGGGGACGATGGGGAAGCGCGGCTGACCGACACGGCAGCTGCCCGCATTGCATTCGATTCGGACGATGTACACGTGGCGCCTGAAACACTTGGGTATACTCCGCCTGGTGAGTATGTGCTCTGAGGATAACACCTTCCCCCTGGTAGGCAGGATCTGGTGCAGGGGGTCGCCGCATCCACAGAACATTCTGCTGGGGGGGGGGGGGGGCGATAGGGATGCGCGGCTGACAATCACTGCTGCGGAGCGCATTTCCTTGGACTCGGGCCATGTGCACGTGGCTTGGCTTGGCTCTCGAGACGCTGGGGCATAGTCCTCCTGGGAAGTGTCTTACCACTGGGGCTCCAAGGACGACCTGGTCGTTGGAGGCATGCTTTGGGATTTTTGTCGCTTCACAAACCACTGTGGCTCTGATGACCTTGTCGTTGAAGGCATGCCTCTCCTGGTGGGACTCTGGAATACCTGCCACCCCATCCCACCCCATCCCACCCCACCCCAACCCACCCTCCCCGCTCTTTCACAAACTCTCCCACTCCAACGCGCTCCTCTCTCCCGCCCAGAGTAGATGTCCGGCCCAACAACAGCAACTCCAGAAGGGGACTTTTCTCAGCTTCGAGGTCGTTTTACTCGAACTGCTCACCGACCGCCGCCCCCTAGACCCCTGACCTTTCTCTTCCTAGAAACTCAACCTCGCTCCCTTTTCCCCCCACCCAACCCCTTCCCCCTCCAGAGTACATGTCTGCCTCGACAACAGCAACGCCAGAAGGGGATGTCTTCAGCTCAGGAGTGGCCCTCTTGGAGTTGTCAACCAGCAGACCCCCCTTGGACCCCTGGTTTGGTTTGCAGACCCACCATGCTCATTCTCTTCCTGCCTCACTCCCCCTTCCCCCCCCCCCCCTCCAGAGTACATGTCCGGCCCTACAACAGCAACCCCAGAGGGCGACGTGTTCAGCTTCGGCGTCGTTCTTCTCGAGCTGCTAACAGGCCGACCCCCCTTAGACCCCTGGTTCGCAGAGAACGAGCTGGGCGACGTGATCGGGTGGGTGAACGTGTGTGTGGAGGAGGGGGCGGCGGGGGATGTCTTGGACCCGAGGGTAGCGGATATAGCGGAGTGCGAGGGCGAGATGCTGGAGGCGCTCAAGATCGCGCTGGTGTGCGTGGGGGAGGAGGCGGAGGAGCGGCCCATCATGGCGGATATAGTCTCCATGCTGGAGAGAGTAGGCGACGAGGGGGGTGGGTAGGCTGTGAGTTCTGGGTGCTGAAAACACAAGGCGCTGGCAGGAGGGCAGTAGTAGGGGGGGGCAGGAGGAGGGGCAGGAGGAGGGGCAGGAGGACAGGAGGGGGGATGAGGCCAAGAGGGGGGCGTGCTGGACCCGAGAGTGGCGGGCATAGCGGAGTGCGAGGGCGAGATGCTTGAGGCGCTCAAGATCGCGCTGGTGTGCGTCTTTTTAGTGTGCTGCACCCATCACACGATGACTTGCATATCAACATCATGAGGGACCTTCCACGGTCCACCTCAATAACTAAATGCCTTGAAATATCATTGCATTGATATCGCACTTTCGGAGTTTCCTCCCAGGAGGTGCCCTTCCTGTCATTCCACGACCACGACCTCATTGGTAGCCGCCCCGGTCTGGGTTTAGTTCGTGGGTGCACGTGGGTATCACAGCTGGGTATAGACGTCTGGTTTTCCAGCGGTCTATGTCGCAAATGTGGTCCTACGGTGGGACTCCCATCCAAGCCAAGGCGTCTCTGCCCGGTTTTCCTCTTGTATCAAAGGTATCAAATGAGCTGGATAGGGTACAATTGATCCTGCTCTGCTTCACTTCAAGACTGCAATTCTCACCAGAACAGCAATTCCACCCAATATATACATGTTCTAACGGTGCTAAACCGGCATTAGGCACTAAAATGGTTCGAGCGGGAGTTTCAGCATCCATGCTCGCATGCTGCTCCGCCTCACGAATCCCAAACTATTTACAGGCCACGCGCGCAAAACTTCCTCGCGGCTCTGCCTCACGAATCCCAGACTATTTACAGGTACGCGTGCATCATCCACGCAGGCATGCATCACGCCAGGTGAAGGGGCCGTCCCTTCAAGCCAGCTCGTAGATGAACGAAGTCTCCTTCACCTGCTGGTTACCAGGATTCACCTTCTTTCGCCAGGCCTCTGTCCACTGCTGCACCCAATCCAGCAGCCAAGTAGCATGTGAAAAAAGGAAACCGTGAGAAAAACAGACACACAAAAAATCGGCAGCGCACAATCGCGTGAAGCTGACAGGCAAGACTGTGTCCGTCGTCTTACTAGTAGTACTACTAGTAGGAAAGAGATATCCGCTGGTCCGTGGGAACAAGAACAGGGCGAGGTCGATTACCTCTTCCGATTCTTCTCAACGTATTTCTGCCAACTCGCACACGATAGTCAGTGAGGCGAGTACCAGCAAGCAATCATCCATGATAATGAACAGCCACGCCATTAATGATGTGTACGGAAAGTCCTCCAACAGGCCATGTGATGAGGACGACTACGACGCTTGGATTAGAAAAATTTTATCGATAATATAGCGTGGTACTAACATGAATTGCGTAGGAGGTGCCGACTGTCACGAAAGCGACGGCAGACGCCATGCCGAGAGTAGCTGTCGCCAGATTCCACGGTCGAATAGGCATGAGAGTCGGCATTCTCAAGGTTTCGCTGGCGATTTGCTGACAAAGAGGAACTCCCAAACGCACGCGCAAGGAAAGTTGGCAGAAATTAGCGCGAAGTAATGGTTGCGAGTGCCAAGAAAGTCTTGGAGAAGCGCGTGTAGATCGAAGTTGAAACTGGAATAGAATGACGGAGTCGAGTGAATTTGAGTGGGAAGACGCTGGTGGGGAGGATTTGCCCTTGGGAGCGCGAGCAGAGAAGCGGCGTGTGGGAGAGGCGAGGGGAGGGGAACACGCGAAGCCTTCAGGCAGAGGTCCTTGGGGCAGAGGTCCTTCGGGCAGAGGTTCTGTACTGGAACAAAAGTGAAAGCGCTGAATCTAGGGGTGTCCAGCGAGTGCGGTGTAATCGAACGGTTCAGAGGAAACGACGGTTGGGATACACAGGCTTCTGCTGTCTGGGAGAACTCGTACACTTTCGCTCATGAGCAAATGGCAGCGGCCGAATTCCGACAAAACAATTCAGATCACATTTCGTCTGCCCGTAAATTTGCATCCCTGGGACCACGTGACGGAAGTTGAAACGAAAGCGCATGGCTGAATCCACGTCACCTCACCAGCAATCGGTGCTGCGTCTCAGTGCGCAAATCACACGTGTCCGTCGGAACACCTCCCCTCGTCCACCTCACGTGTGGACCCAAGCACGTCGCAGCGCCATGCGACCCGCGAATGCACGCAATTTTTGATTTTCTCTGCACAAACGCACTTCTGCACGCAATGCAACCCTCGATTTCTCAATTCTCTCAAATGTCACCGACGACCGCACCGCCACATACTGCACCTCCTCCATGCCTTCCGTGACGACCAAGCAACACCTGCTTTCGGCAGTATCTCACGAAGGTCAAATTCTCCCCTTTTCTCCACCTGAGTGCTTTCGTTGCCCTTGTGTGGCATATCTTGGAATGCCGCGATGATGTGCACACGTGGTGCAGAGAAGCAGCAGCTTGCCGTAATGCATTCTGTACCGCTCGATGCAATATCACCAGCGCTTCCTCCATCATGGTGAAGCAGCGCCGGCGTTCCCCCGTTCCTCTGCTTCAGCTCACGTGAGATGAGACCGCTTGCATACCAAGGAGGCCGCCATGATGATGCGCTTTTTCTCCTACCTCCCGCCATGGCCCGCTCCTCTCCCCGCTGCATGGATCCATGCACGGCCATCTCGAGCCCGCCTCTTCGGCGAGGCGCCAGACAAGCGCATCCGCTTAAAAGCGGCCCTCTTCTTGTTAGCGTCTGCTGCGCCCGCTGTCGAAGCTTCTCCCCGAGATGCAGCATCCTTCCTGTTACTCAAAATAGCTTTTTCCACGCCGCTCCCTGTGGCTCGGCTTCCTTTTGGCCGTGAACCTGCTTCTTGAAAAGGCCCACCAACCCTCGGGCCGAAGCTCTGGATTTGTCGTAGCCACAATTCCTTGTCGCCGAGTTTCCGCAGTCCCTTGGAGCAACCCTCGTTCCGATCAGTCCCCTCCCATGGCGACGGCCGCTTTCGCCTTCGCGTCGTCAATGATAGCCCGCCAGGTCACTCGTTCCTTCACAGCATCCCACGCAGTGGCGGCGTGCGCGGTCCGCATCGGCGTCTGCGTCGGCGTCGGCGTCGGCCGCGGCGGCGGCGGCAACCGCCATCACCCGTTTTCGCAACAGGCACTCCGCGCCATGGCGGCTTCCCGCTGGAACGAGCTCTGGGGCAGCTCGTACACAGGCGGAAGCGCGCGCTCCCGCGCGCAGGGGCGCTTTGAGACGCCCCCGTCCCTCGGCGGGGCTGCGCTTCCGCTGCCAGCGCGCAAACGCTGGGAGCCCCCTTCCCCTTGCGCACATCTCGACCCCCCGCGAACGACCACAAGGGGCTTTCGTTCCGATGCCTTCATGGCTCCCGGGGCGACCAGAAGCAGCAGCCGCCGCAGCCTTTGTCTGCTAGTGGCGGCGCTAGTGGCGGGCGCTAGCGCCAGGGGAGTTGCCTCGGATGCTGCCGCGGATGCTGCCGCGCAAGAGGCGACCTCGCGGCCCTCGAAGGAGTGGCGGATGTTGCCGCTGGGGTACCGCCCCGCGCACGCGGTGGCGCTGCAGGAGCGCATCGAAGAGATGTGGGAGGCGCGCGCGGGGCGGAAGGGGGAGGCGGGGAGGGTGCGGGGGAAGGCAGCGGGAGAGAAGGAAGGGGGCGAGGGAGCGAAGGAGAGTGTGAAGGAGGAGGAGCGGCGCGAGTTGGAGGCGCTAAATTGGGCGTTCAGTCAGCTGCCGTGTCGGTGTTCCCGTGCCAGCATAAAGGTACGGTACTCTGTGGTCTCATATGCTTCTCGGTCTACGTTCGATAGAAGTTTAGTTTTGAGATGTCTCACCCGTACCAGCTTGAAGGTATGATGTTCTGTGGACTCCTATGCCTCGTGTCTACGTTCTTCGCTGTGGGTGCTCGACACTTTGGAGAAGTTTCGCACGGACTCACTCACAGCGGTACCGTGCCCCTGTCGTCCTGCCCTTCCCTCTCCTCCTTCCCAGTGCTCGAAATCCCCTCCGACGCTCGTCTCTCGGACGCTCTTCGACTGCTGCAGAAGTCCGGGCTCATGGCGGCACCCGTCAGGGACGTGGCAGCGAGGGAAGACGCGCCTCTGCAGCAGCGGTACCTCGGCATGGTGGATGGCGCGGGCATCGTGCTGTGGGTCATGGGGCAGGTAGGAGAGACAGGGGGGACGGGAAAGAGGGGGGGGGGAAGGGCGGGGGGAGTGGAGGGGGGGTTGTGGGGGGCGGAGGGGGGGGGGGGAACATGGTGAGAGGGGTCGTGGACGATGCTTTCTTGGAGCAGCGGGACTTGGGGGATGGTGGGCGCGCGGAGATTGTACTGTGGGGGGCAGGTACTAGGGGCTTGGGCTTGGGCTTGGGGAGGGACAGTGGAGGGCAGGAGGGGCTTGGGTTTGAAGTGGTTTTACTTGAGAAAGATGCTTCGTGCCCGTCGCGCTTCCTCCACATTCCCGCCCGCCCCTCAGCCTGCTCTTCTTCGCTCTCCCCCAACCCCCCTCCATCTTCCTCCTTTTCTCAGCTCGACCGTTCGTCTGCAGACTCCGCATGGCAGCAGCAGCAGGGGGAGGCTTGGCCGGGCTGGCAGTGGCAGGGCTGGGCGCAGCAGCGTTGGGCGCTCCAGATGCTGCCGGCGTTGGCGGCCATGTGGGCAGGATCAATGGCTGGCGGGCTGCTGGGCTCCAAGTCAGCAGAGGCGCCGGGGAGGGGGAGGCAGGGGGAGGGGTGGAGCGCGTAAGAGTTTCGGCAGGGGGACTTGACCGGCTGCTGCAGAGAAACGTGTTTCAGACGACTATGGTAAGTTGGTAAAGGTAATGGGGTGGGACACGCCAGTCTGTGAGGAGGGCGAGGGGTGGAACGGGTGTCGGCCGGCCGGGGATTCTTCAGGATTCTTCAGGATTCTTCAGGATTCTTCAGGATTCTTCAGGATTCTTCAGGATTCTTCAGACAACTAAGCGAAGTGGTCACCCTTCCCCCATCGCCCTTCCCCCATCGCCCTTCCCCCATCGCCCTTCCCCATCGCCCTTCCCCCATCGCCCTTCCCCCATCGCCCTTTCCCCATCGCCCTTCCCCACATGCCCTTCCCCTGTCGCCAGCCTCCACATCACAACACCGCATCGCACGCTCCTCCCCTTCTCCCAATCGCCTCTTTCCCTCTGACTCCCGACTCCCTTGCTCACAAGCCAATGGGGCGTTGTGCTCGTGGGCCCATTCCTCGTGCACCCTTCTCGCTGCACCCCCGTTCACGCCCCCCCAATCTTTGGCACCAGGTGTCTGACCTGGTGGGGTCCTTCCGCTGGCGCTCCTTCCTGCCATTCTCCTCATCTGGTGCCTCATCCCGCCCCCTCCTCTCCCCCACATGCCCATACCTCCGCCTCCCCCTCATATTCCTATATCTCATTCCTCCCAAACCTTTCTCCCCTGTTCTCCACCTCTCCCACACACACACCAGGTGTCTGAACTGGTGGGGTCCTTCCGCTGGCGCTCATTCCTCCCCCTCTTCCTCGTCCGACTCAGTCCTCTCTCTCATGCTGCTGCTCGCCATGCCCCACCGCCCCCAAGTGCTCCCCATCGTCACCTACCCCCCACCTCCTCCTCTCCCTTCTCCTCCTCTCCCTCTCCTCCTCTCCCTTCTCGTCTCCCTCCGCCTCCTCTCCTGCGTCCTCCTCTCCCTCCTCCCCACTCCATCCTCCCTTCTCTCCTCCTCTCCCTCCTCCTCCCCTCCCTCCTCCTCCTCCGCCACTTTTCCTGCTTCCACTTCTGCCGAGCCTGCTGCTGCAGCTTCGTCACTAGGTTCGGAGACCGCCCCTGTGCCGAGCCTGTCAGCCCTGGTGTCGCAGGTGATGTGGTGAAATTTCCTGGCGGAGTGTGACGGGCAGCCGTGGTTCGAGTGGGTGGCGGGGAGAAGGCTGAGTGACATGGGGCTCCCGAGAATGGACAAAGAATCGACTGTGAAGGTGAGATTCATCGTCTCACCCGAAGAGCAGCCGTGGTTCGAGTGGGTGGCGGGGAAGCAACTGAAAGACGTGGGGACGCCAAGAACTGCTGGATATGCAAGGTGAGGAGTGATGTTGAGCAGCTTTTGAAATAATTGTCATTTGAGGCAAAATGACAAAAAGATGCGGTTTGTGCCAGCCCGGGAATCGAACCCGGGTCTGCACCGTGCTGATGGCAGGGTGCTATTCTACCACTAGACCACTGGCACTCGAGGGATGAGTATTTGTGTGCCTTTGAGAAGTTTGAAATGTTTGAGCAGAGCTCTACAGCAGGATGACAATGGAACCAATGTCGAAGTTTTGGCCAGTGACATTGCAAGTGCGTCACAGACGTTGACAGTGCAAACGCGTCACAGACGGTGACAGCATTTGGTTTGGGTGCAGAAAATTGCCGGTTGGATTCCTAGCATCCCTAGCATCCCTAGCATCCCTAGCATCCCTAGCATCCCTAGCATCCCTAGCATCCCTAGCATCCCTACAGTTGCAGCAGAATGCAATGGTCAGCTGGCAGTGCAACGGACAGCCTAGCAGAGTGCAACGGATAGCCTGGATTAGAAGGGGTGGCCGAAATACAAGTGGAAGACAGAGGGCTTTTTGAAATGCCTGCTGCAGAATCACCAGTCGAAGAGGTGAGCGATGTGTCGTTAACTCTTGAAGACAGACAGCTGTGGCTCTGGTGGGTGGCGACAAGATGCGTGAGTTGTGAGGCTGTCAGGCATAGTGCAGAATGGGCGGTTGAGGTGAGTCGTGTGAGTCACATGCTTGGTTGGGAAAAATGATCGTTGTTAGCAAAAGGGAAGTGAGTAATGGATGGGCTCACAACTTTTCTTGCATCCACGTTTGTTTCACGGACTCTTTGGATCATAAGAGGAGAGGAGGTAGCCAAATTCTCCAACAACACGTTCTTTGGTGCAACAAGGTAATGAGGAGGAAGTACTAGTATCAGCGATCGACATCATGATGCCCAAGAAAGGTAAAGAGTTAGATGTGCCAGCCGGGAATCGAACCCGGGTCTGCACCGTGCTGCATGGCAGGGTGCTATTCTACCACTAGACCACTGGCACTAAGCAGATGATACAATGTGTCACCAAAGCTGTTTTTCTTTCTCTTTCGGTTTTCCTCTTGCTAGAATGCGCGCATCCTCGCCTTCTCCTGCGTGACATTCCCTCCCTCTATGTACGCGTTACTATCCAGGTAGGTGCTGGAGTCGACCTTGGTAATGGAGCCGTTCCGTCTGATGCTCCATCCGTCCCTCTCCGTACGCGTTATTATCTCAGGTGCAGGAGTCGGACCCGTAATGGAGCCGTTCCGTCTGATGCTTCAGCACGACATCGGCGGAGTGCCCGTGGTGGCGCCGGGGACCAACCGCATCACGGCAAACATCAGCGCGAGGGACATTCTGCAGCTGCTGACGTCACCGCACCCTGGCGGAGCAGCACCACCTCAAGTACGCGCATTCCCCCCTCTGCTTATTGCCTTTCTGCTTTCTGCGTACTAGCACCCTCCCCCTTTTTTCTGCCTAGCGTCGTCTCTCTTCCCTCCCCGAAATCCTTTTCTTCCCCATCAGTCATGGCGCCATCAGTCATGGTGCCATCGGTCATGGTGCCATCGGTCATGGCGCCATCGGTCATGGCGCCATCAGTCATGGCGCCATCAGTCATGGCGCCATCGGTCATGGCGCCATCAGTCATGGCGCCATCAGTCGTATGCCACCCCTTCTATTCCCAAACCCCCAACCTTCCCCTTCCTCAGGCCGCTAACGGTGGCAGATCTGGCGTATGACGCCCAGCACCCCCATCACGGCACAGCTGACGTCATCTGCCCCACAATCCCCTTTTCTCTTCCCCATTCTCAGGCCGCTGACGGTAGCAGATCTCCTGTATGACGCGCAGCGCCCGCACCACGGCACGGCTGACGTCATCTGGCCGATCATGGTGCCACCAGTCACATGCCACCCGTCCACCTCGCTGCGGGAGGTGCTGCACGCATTCCGGGTGGCGCGCGTGCACCGCATATACGTCACCCAGGAGGGGGGGTGAGAAGAGTGGGGATCTGCTGGGAGTGGTCACGCTGAAGGATGCAATTGGGCGGTTTCTTGGTGCGGCAGGAGGAAGAAAAGAGGGAGAGGAGGGGAGAGGACAAAGAGGCGTTCCCAACCACCACCGAGGTTGGTTCGGATGGGCTCAGCCTGTAGGGGGTGGAGGGTGGTACGCCTCCGCCTCACCACCCAGAGGGAGGTGCTGCATGCGTTCAGGGTGGCGCGCGTGCACCGCATGTACGCCACTGAAGAGGCGAAAGGCAGTGGGGGGGGGAGTGGGGAGCTGCTGGGAGTGGTCACGCTGAGGGATGCGATTGGGCGGTTCCTGGTGCGGCAGGAGGAAGAAAAGGGGGAGGAGAGGAGGGGAGAGGGGAAAGAGGAGCCGGTCCGACCACGGAGGTTGGGTCGGATGGGCTCAGCCTGTAGGGGGGAGGGAAGCGGAGGGAAGGTCACGGAATGGGGAGGGCAGGGCACGTGCCACCTGTCCCCCGCGCTGAGGGAGGTGCTGCCTCTGCACGTGTTCCGAGTGATGAGCGTGCACCGCATATACGTCACACAGCACATACCATAAGATGGGCTTGACCTTCAGGGGGAAGGGCGGCGATGGGAGGGAGGGGAGGGAGCGGAGGAGGAAGGCATTGGGGTTAACGGCTATGCTCAATGGGCCCCTATGGAATGGAGAAGAGATTGTGAGTTGGTGTTCCGGCTGTTGCGAACAATGCTGCTGGCTTGCGTGTGTGTGTGGTTGGGGTGGCCTAGATTCCGGCCGCTGCTGTTGGATGTGTGCTGTGTGCTGTGTGCTGTGTGCTGTGGCGCTCCCTTCCCACAACTCTGGCAACAGGAGAAGTCGAGTCCAGACACAGTGGTGCATTTTGTGTACATATCTACCAAACACCCACCCTTGATGGCTTCCTGTTTCCGGAAGAACTGACTGAACCCTGATATGCTGTCTTAATCTTTGTACATACGCTGCCCGGCAATCTAATGTGTTCATCTCCATTGATTGGGGTGGGAAGTAGACATGGGCTTGGTTGCTGTATGTAAAACACTCTGGCTGGCTGGCACCAAATGCAGGGGTGAAACATTTCTTCCTTTCTTGCCACCACACCACACCTGCAGGGATGAGTCTGGCTAATCTGTCTGAGATAGGTGGTAGCTACAAACAGAATGACGACATCCGTGCACTTGGAACCCCTGCATACGCCCCAGCAAAACTTTAGGCTTTAGCACTCACAAATACAGTGAACCTCTACCAGCCACATGAACTCTGGTTCGCCAGTCATACCGTAGTAGTCAGCAGCTGTCTTTCAATCCGCCATACACAAGCGAGCACCAACACCTGTTCTTGCTTGCCTCCCTTACAGGAGGGCTGGTGTAAATATCCCTAGAGCACAACCATGCCATGCTAGGCTATCAGGCTTAGTGCCCCCACAGCTAGCCTGTATACCCTTAGGGAAGAGAGCATGCTACCGATAGGTTATTCAGACCTAGCTTGGGGAGTCTTAAAAACGGTATGCAGTGCAGAACTGGGCTAGCTAGCTACCAGTCAGGCGACACCACTGACTCTCCACTCCATGCTCCTGTGGCAGCAGTGTGGCATGGCCTAAGTTGCAGCCTGGATGGTGTTGTCTGGCTGTATGAGCAGGATGGGCAGCAGACAGCAGCGCAGCAGCGCAGCACACTCAGCAGAATGCCTTCTGCAAGAGAGGAGGTGTGCGCTGCTGCTATGCCTGCCTGCACCAGCTCTACTGTCACAAGTTGCACCACTTGAACGGGTCCAATGCCTCCCCTCTCTTGCGAACTGAGCGGTGGGGGTGGAAATGTAGCAGAGGGAAATGTAGAAACACTGTGAGAGAAGAACGCCTTGTGCAAGGTGAGGTGACTGCAAGGGGTGCTTCACAACTCTGCCTGCACTGGCCTGGTCACAAAATGCCCCATCTGAAAGGGTCCAGCGCCTCTGAGTCCGTTGAGGCACGCAGGCGGAAGGATGTGGTGTGTGAGGTAAGGAAATGGATTGGCCAAGGTTACAAAGAATCAGAGTGGGAAGCAAGGAGGTGGAGATGAAGAAAGGGTGGGAGGGATGGAGAGAGAGGCGGAGGGGGAAGTGACAAGTCGCACACGTTCAAAGTGAGGGTGGGTCTTGTCACCTGTGGCTCGCCCAGTTGCTCCCCACACGAAGAGAGAGCGAGGGAGGGGGAAGAGAGTGGAAGGGCAGAGAGACGGGCCAGCGGCAACAAATGCACGCACCTTCGAAGTGCAGGTGGGGTCCCGTGGCTCGCCCAGTTGCCCCCACACATGCCACTTGCTGCCCCTTGCCACTCGCTGCAGTCATTGTGCATACATGCACACATGGACACACAGACGTTTGTGCATACACATACACAGAAGCACACAGACACACACGCACACGCACGAGCGCAAACACACACAACAGCAGGAAAAAAGGAGGTATAGTTGGAAAACGACGACGGACGGAAGTGTGGAAGTGAGGGAGGGCACAAGGATAAGAGGTCACCCTGAAGCTACTAGGAAGCGGGCAGTTTGTGGAGTGGTAGTGGTACAAACCAAGACACTTGAACGATGAATTATAAGGCAAACTCCATTGAATCAACCACCACCCACCTGCCCAACGCGAGCGTTGATGATGCAGCAGTGCCCATAGCGAGTGGTGAAGCCATTGTCATGCGCTATAGTCACCAGCTTGCCGTACCTGGAGGCCGTGGTGGGGGGAGTGGTGGAGGAGGGGAGAGGAGAACCGTGGGGTTGGTGGAAGGAGGGGGGAGTAGAGGAGAAGAGGATGTTTAGACAAGCAGCAATGCACTAGACCAACTACTTGAGAGTAGGTAACGGGGGAATAGAGGGGAGAAGCAAGGAGATGGCCATGCAGAAACGAACAATCACCCGGTGATGCACTCGTCTCAACCCCCCCCCCCCCCCCATCTCGGCTCACTCACTCACCCTACATCCCACCAACGCCAGCATTCCATCTCGCTATGCCCTTGTTCCCAGCTTTGAACTTTCCGCCCAAACGCCACCCCCTACTCCCGTCCCCCCTCAAAAGCCACTCACCCTCCGCTCCAGCCTGCAAACGTCACCACGCCCTTGTCTGACGCCAGCACTGGCGCGCCAAACTCCGCTGCTAGATCCACGCCCTGTGGCAAGGGGGAAAGGAAAGGGGAGCGGGTGGAGGAACGGCAGGGGATGGGGAGAAGGGGGAATAGAGAGCGTGACATGAGATAGGGGGCGGGTAGAGGAACACGAAGCAGAGGGAATAACAGTGGGGAAGGAGTGAAACGAAGCGGACGAAACGGGGGAGAGGATGGCAAGGGGACGGGGACAAAGGAGGAGGAGGAGCAGGAGAGAGAGGAAGAGGATAAGGGGGAGAGGGTGGGAGAAAGGCGAGAGAGTGAGGGGGGCGGGGGAGAGGAGGCGTACCTCATGGAAGGATCCCCATCGCCAGCCAAAGGGACTGCTGACGAAGCTGGTGGGGAGAGAGGGTTGAGAGGAGGATTGGGGGAGAGGGATTGAGATGAAAGTGCTCGCGGAAGGAGCGGGAGAAAGGCTCACAAAAAACGCAGCTTCTGATAGGTCGGCAATTAAAGCTCAATCAGCAAGCTCAGCATGCAGAACAAGCCCGTCCAACCCCCCTGTTTTACGCAGTGACTACCACAGGGCATTCACTAAAGAGGCACCCTATACTTCCCCCAACCTGAAACACCTCCCCTCCTAATCCCTGTCCAACGCACCCGTTCACCACAGGGCAGTTAAATCGCAGCCATCCGTCCACGGTGTTTGAAGTCCACTCGAATGTCACCCCTACCTCCCCCAAGTGCCAATGCCCCTTCCCCTTTCCCCCTGAAAACGCACCCGTCCACCACAGGGCAGTTAAATCGCAGCCATCCGTCCATCGACTTGGGAAAGCCCTTGGGACCCCTCCTCCACCGCCCTGTTGGTGGGAGAGGGAACGGGGTGGTGGTGGTGGTGCAACACAAGATCATAATGAGAGGGGGAGCAGAGATCGTGATTGGAGAGAGAGCACAGCACCAACACTCATGGATCTGGGAAAGCCTATGGGGCCCCTTCATCCATCGACCTGTAGGTTTGAGAGGGGGTACCGGCAATGGGAACAAGTTGGGCCATGAATGGGG